AGGAGAAGTAACAACTGACACTGAAGAAATATAAAGGATCATGAGAGATTACTACAAGAAACACTATGCCAATAAAATGGACAACCTGGAAGAAATGGTCAAATTCTTAGAAATGCACAGCCTTCCGAAACTGAACCAGGAAGAAATAGAAAATATGAACAGCCCAATCACAAGCACTGAAATTGAAACTGTGATTAAAAATCTTCCAACAAACAAAAACCCAGGACCAGATGGCTTCACAGGCAAATTCTATCAAACATTTAGAGAAGAGCTAACACCTATCTTTCTCAAACTCTTCCAAAATATAGGAGAAGGAGGAACACTCCCATACACATTCTAAGAGGCCACAATCACCCTGATACCAAAACCAGACAAAGATGTCACAAAGAAAGAAAATTACAGGCTAATATCACTGATGAACATAGATACAAAAATCCTCAACAAAATACTAGCTAACAGAATGTAACAGCATATTAAAAGGATCATACACCATGATCAAGTGGGGTTTATCCCAGGAATGCAAGGATTCTTCAATATATGCAAATCAATCAATGTGATAAACCATATTAACAAATTGAAGGTGAAAAACCATATGATCATCTCAATAGATGCAGAGAAGCTTTTGACAAAATTCAACACCCATTTATGAAAAAAACCCTGCAGAAAGTAGGCATAGAGGGAACTTTCCTCAACATAATAAAGGCCATATATGACAAATCCACAGCCAACATCGTCCTCAATGGTGAAAAACTGAAAGCATTTCCACTAAGATCAGGAACAAGATAAGGTTGCCCACTCTCACCACTATTATTCAATATATGTTTGAAAGTTTTAGCCACAGAAATCAGAGAAGAAAAAAAATAAAAGGAATCCAAACAAGAAAAGGAGAAGTACAGCTGTCACTGTTTGCAAATGACATGATACTATATAGAGAATCCTAAAGATGCTACTAGAAAACTACTAGAGCCAATCAATGAATTTGGTAAAGCAGCAGGATACAAAATTAATGCAAAGAAATCTCTTGCATTCCTATACACTAATGATGAAACATCTGAAAGAGAAATTAAGGAGACACTCCCATTTACCATTGCAACAAAAAGAGTAAAATACCTAGGAATAAACCTACCTAAGGAGACAAAAGACCTGTATGCAGAAAACTATAAGACACAGATGAAAGAAATTAAAGATGATACAAACAGCAGGAGAGATATACCATGTTCTTGGATTGGAAGAATGAACATTATGAAAATGACTATACTACCCAGAGCAATCTACAGATTCAATGCAGCCCTATCAAACTACCACTGGCATTTTTCACAGAACTAGAACAGAAAATTTCACAATTTGTATGGAAACACTAAAGACCCTGAATAGCCAAAGAAATCTTGAGAAAGAACAGCGGAGCTGGAGGAATCAGTTTCCCTGACTTCAGACTATACTACAAAGCTATAGTAATCAAGACAGTATAGTACTGGCACAAAAACAGAAATATAGATCAATGGAACAGGATAGAAAGCCCAGAGATAAACCCACGCACATATGGTCACCTTATTTTTGATAAAGGAGGCAAGAATATACAGTGGAGAAAAGACAGCCTCTTCAATAAGTGGTGCTGGGAAAATGGACAGCTACACATAAAAGAATAAAATTAGAACACTCACTAACACCATACACAAAAATAAACTCAAAATGGATTAAAGACCTAAATGTAAGGCCAGACACTATTAAACTCTTAAAGGAAAACATAGGCAGAACACTCTATGACATAAATCACAGCAAGATTCTTTATGATTCACCTCCTAGAGAAATGGAAATAAAAACAAAAATAAACAAATGGGACCTAATGAAACTTAAGAGCTTTTGCACAGCAAAGGAAACCATAAACAAGATGAAAAGACTACCCTCAGAATGGGAAAAAATATTTGCAAATGAAGCAACTGACAAAGGATTAATCTCCAAAACTGACAAGAAGCTCATGCTGCTCAATATCAGAAAAAAAAAAACAACCCAATCCCAAAATGGGCAGAAGACCTATATAGACATTTCTCCAAAGAAGATATACAGATTGCCAACAAACACATGAAAGGATGCTCAACATCATTAATCATCAGAGAAATGCAAATAAAAACTACAGTGAGATATCATCTCACACCAGTCGGAATGGCCATCTTCAAAAACTCTACAAACAATAAACGCTGGAGAGGGTGTGGAGAAAAGGGAAACTTCTTGCACTGTTGCTGGGAATGTAAATTGATACAGCCACTATGGAGAACAGTATGTATGTTCCTTATAAAACTACAAATAGAACTACCATACGACCTAGCAATCCCACTACTGGGCATATACCCTGAGAAAACCATAATTCAAAAAGAGTCATGTACCACAATGTTCATTGCAGCTCTATTTACAATAGCCAGGCCATGGAAGCAACCTAAGTGTCCATCAACAGATGAATGGATAAAGAAGATGTGGCAGATATATATAATGGAATATTACTCAGCCATAAAAAGAAACGAAATTGAGTTATTTGTAGTGAGGTGGATGGACCTAGAGTCTGTCATACAGAGTAAAATAAGTCAGAAAGAGAAAAACAAATACCATATGCTAACACATACATATGGAATCTAAAAAAAAAATGGTCATGAAGAACCTAGGGGCAAGACGGGAATAAAGACACAGACCTCCTAGAGAATGGACTTGAGGATACGGGGAGGAGTAAGGGTAAGCTAGGACAAAGTGAGAGAGTGGCATGGACATACACTACCAAACGTAAAATAGATAGCTAGTGGGAAGCAGCCGCATAGCACAGGGAGATCAGCTCAGTGCTTTGTGACCACCTAGTTGGGTGGGATAGGGAGGGTGGGAGGGAGGGAGACACAAGAGAGAAGAGATTTGGGGACATATGTATATGTATAACTGATTCACTTTGTTATAAAGCAGAAACTAACACACCATTGTAAAGCAATTATACTCCAATAAAGATGTTAAAAAATAAAGAAGTGAAGGAAGCAATAGCAAAGATCAATAAAACTAAAAGCTGGTTCTTTTAGAAGATAAACAAAATTGATAAACCATTAGCCAGACTCATCAGGAAAAAAAGGGAGATGACTGAAATCAATAGAATTAGAAATGAAAAAGGAGAAGTAACAACTGACACTGCAGAAATACAAAGGATCATGAGAGATTACTCCAAGCAACTATATGCCAATAAAATGGACAACCTGGAAGAAATGGACACATTCTTAGAAAAGCACATCCTTCTTACACTGAACCAGGAAGGAATAGAAAATATAAACACACCAATCAGAAGCACTGAAACTGTGACTAAAAATCTTCCAACAAACAAAAGCCCAGGACCAGATGGCTTCACAGGCTAATTCTATCAAACATTTAGAGAAGTGCTAACATCTATCCTTCTCAAACTCTTGCAAAATATAGCAGAGGGAGGAACACTCCCAAACTCATTCTATGAGGCCACCATCACCCTGATACCAAAACCAGACAAGATGTCAAAAAGAAAGAAAACTATAGACCAATATCACTGATGAACTTAGATGCAAAAATCCTGAACAAAATACCAGCAAACAGAATCCAGCAGCACATTAAAACGATCATACACCATGATCAAGTAGGGTTTATCCCAGGAATGCAAGGATTCTTCAATATATGCAAATAAATCAATGTGATACACCATATTAACAAACTGAAGGATAAAATCCATATGATAATAGATGCAGAAAAAGCTTTTGACAAAATTCCACACCCATTTTTTATAAAAACCCTCCAGAAATAGGCGTGGAGGGAACTTACCTCAACGTAATCAAGGCCATATATGACAAAAGCACAGCCAACATCGTTCTCAATAGTGAAAAACTGAAAACATCTTTTCGTGGTGTCCTTGTCTGACTTTGGTATAAGGGTAATGCAAGCCTTGAGTTTGAGAATGTTTCATCCTCTTCCATTTGGGGGAAGAGTTTGAGAAGGACTTGCATTAATTCTTTTTTAAATGTTTGGTAGAATTCACCCGAGAAACTACATGGTCCTGGGCTTTTCTTTATGAGATTTTTGTTTACTGATTCAACCTCCTTACTTTGGTGATGTCATGTTTCCTTTGTTGGTGTCAAATTTCCTTGATTTTTCTTGTTCCTTGAAGTCTTGCATTGCACTCTTTGCACTTAAAGTAGTAGTCAACTCCTTCAGTCTTTACTAACTTAAGGAGAGAAATACATTCCTTCAGTCCTGCTAGGGTTTCTAAGGCTTTCACAGACCTTTTATGGATATGACTGCTTCTCACTTCTTACTCCTGCTTGTGGCAGAATTCATAAATTTGTATACTTCTTTCAATCCTCCAGTGCACCAGACTGGGTGTTGACAGCCTCCCTTTTGCTTTCCCAAGGGCAAAGCTAAAGCTAAAGAGGCCAAATTTGTGGCCTCTCCATGGCTCTCACATTCAGGTTAGCCTTCTGTGCATGCTCACAAGCCATCTACCAGAGCTTGCTCTTGCTGCCTTTGAGAACACAGAGTGGGCCACAGGGTGGAGGTTTGTGGGGGTGAGGCAATCAGGGTTCTGGGGGTGCCAGTGGGACAGTTGTAGGGATCCACATGTGAGATGTCCCAAGTGGCTTGTGGGCTGGCTTCTTGATAGAGTCTGTGAAGCAGTTAGTAGGATCTATGTCCCATTAGTGCCCTCCAAGAGTCCTATATGTCACTCTCTCAGCCTCTTCCCACTCCCAGTCATGCAGCTGATGACTCGGTACTCTGAAAGGGATGAGAGAGAAATGGGCCTCTTGGCCGTGTCCCACACAGCTGGGAAAGCCAGGCACTCCTTAACACACTTTCACTCCTCCCCCCATCCCTGCAGGAGAATTCACTGGCCAAGAAAGTGTCTCTTGGAACTGAGGGGTATTGCTTGGGGGAGGGGTGGTGCAGGTAAAGTCAAAATGTTACTCCTTCCCTCTCCAACGCATCCAAATTCAAATATATATATTATATATTTGTTTGTTTCCTCCAACAGCATGCTGGACCTTCTCTGCTGGAAACCTAGAATTCCATAAAGGCTTTCTTGTCCATGGGTGATTGTCTCATCCGTAGGTGATTGACAGTGTTCTTCAGGGGCTCCCAGACCATGGCTGAGAGGGACTGGGACCAGCACATGGGCCACTGCAGGGTCCGCAGCCAGGACTGAGATCTGTATGTGTATTACCTGAGGCACGAGTGGGTGAGACTCCTTCCGGGTCCTGTGGCATATGGTGTTGGATCCCACAGCTTTCACAAAGGCACTTTTATTTGTAGATGGATGCTAAATTGTTATTGTTGAACGGGGCATATGTTCGAGGAATGTCGTATTTGGCCATGTTGCTAACATCACTTCTGGCAATGAGTCCTTAAACACCAAAAGCATGATCTATGAAAGAAAAACCTCTTAAGTAGGACTTTATTAAAATTAAAAACCTCTGCTCCCTGAAAAATATATTTTTAAGATAATGAAAAACCGAGCCAGAGACTGGGAATAAATCTCTGCAAAATACATATATAATAAAGGACTGATATCCAAAATATACAAGGAATTCTTAAAACTAAACAACAGGAAAACAAATACCCATTTTAAAAAATGGGCAAAAAGTCTGATTAGACACCCATTTCACCTTAATGGCTCTAAAGTGGATTTTAGGAACTGAGGACAGAGACCAAATATTATAACAAAAGATGCTCCAATTGCCTTATCACTCAGGAAATTCCAAGGGTTTTGGGAGCTGTGAGCCAGGCACCGTGAATGGAGACCAAATATATACGAGAAATATATTTTGATCATCTTTTTTTTTTTTTTTTTGCGGTACCTGGGCCTCTCACTGTTGTGGCCTCTCACTGTTGCAGCCTCTCCCGTTGCGGAGCACAGGCTCCGGACGCGCAGGCTCAGCGGCCATGGCTCACGGGCCCAGCCGCTCCGCGGCATGTGGGATCCTCCCGGACCGAGGCATGAAACTGTGTCCCCTGCATCGGCAGGCGGACTCTCAACAACTGCGCCACCAGGGAAGCCCTATTTTGATCATCTTAATGACAAAATATATTTCTTATAAATCACAATATTGCAGTCCACCTCTTGGCCTTTGAACACAGATCCCTTATAGCAAAACAATAAAAAATGTCAAAAGATATGGCACATTACTAGAATCTCATTCAATCACTAATAACTATTGAGTTCATTATGAAATCTTATGAAAATGTCTCCCAGGGCAAGGCCACTCAGGTCTGCAGGCTTCTATTCAATCTTGTCAGTTTCCAAAAGCAGGAGTGATCCCAGCAATATATGGCTTCACCCTTTCAGTGATCTAGTATAATTTAGCCGAGAGGCAATATCATCTTTTGCTCTGGGCCTCTTTTGAGATGTTGATGTAATACTGGATTTCTCTCATTACATAACCCATTTATTCATTTTCTAACCCACAGCTACTATTTTTCATTCTCTCCACTTACACCCAAACTTTTCCATCTTTGGAAAGGACATTAGGTTCAGTCACTGTACTGGTCTAGATGGCAGGCAGCAATACTAGTCTAGCAAGTCCCACCCCCTCAGCTCACTTCTAGTCAGATAAGGTAAGGTAACACAGGTGCAGAAGTTACACAGGTGAGCTATGTTTATCACCAGGCAATATAGCTGCATTCACTGTTAATCCTAATTTTCCCAGATTGGGTGAAGGCATATCCTGCCCCAACAGGCCCTTAGGAATTCTGACATAAAAGTAAATAGTTTCTTGCTTAGGAATCATCCCTGTTTCATGCCCTTGTAGTTGCAGCCCTGGTCCTGTGACCATTGTATCAAGTGGTGGGGAAAAGAAAAAGTTGAGGTGATACAGAGAAGACAGAATACCAACATTTTCCCCACCCCCTCTTCCCCTGATCCACCAGAAAAACAGAAATCTATCCTGTGGGGATACTCTTTTAGCCCCACTCATGTTCAGCTTGAGTGTGAGCACATACTCGTGAAGGCATGTAAGCCAGTCCTTCATGCCTTTATTCCCCACCACCCACCATTTTAGACAGCCAATATTTTAACTGCCCATTCCAATTCTCTATCAAACTATGACTCTAAGGAGGTTATTTTTCTGACCACTGCTGGACATCATGTGATGTAGAGTGTGTTTGTTCCTTGGTCTAAAGAAATGATTCTCAACCATCCAAATTTGTGCAATATCTTTTGTTATAGTACTTTTGAGCATTTGCATCTACCACTGGGTAGGCAAAGCCCAGTGCAGAGTCAATGTCTGTTCCTATATTCCTGTCAGGACTCATTTGTAGCCTCCCTGGACTACAAGCATTAGTCTGACTTGTCAGCTCTAATCAGGGCCTCCCCAAAATCCCCAAGGAATCTGCCACATAGCCATCTGCAGTCTGTCTCTTTTGCTGGCATACGGAACAGTTCTTACTGGCATTGCCTCAGAGGATGCAAGAGAAATATGTCTAGATTCGGTCCATCTTTGCACTGCTGCAACTAACTCCCCCAAGTCCACTCATTTCATGGACCCAGGTGGCCACATCAAGGAAGCATATCAAAATGTCCACTTAGTGGTTCCAATCACCTTCTGAACCTTGGAAGGGGGTTCTTCTGATGGGCATCAACATGTCCTACTTTAATGTACCCCTTAAATTCCCAGTGATTTCCATGAGGCTGTGCCCTATTAAGGCCATCCCTTTAACAGTCCAGTTTTCCATTGCCTAACTACCTGACCATATGGCCAGGCCATGGGCTACTGTCCATGTGTAGGTAAAAACCCAAACATAAGGGCTTTTGCCATTGCTCAATTCTTCCACCACTGCTAGGAAAACAGCATGCAATTCAGCACACCAGGATGATCTGTTTTTACCTTCTTCAATCAGAGTGGTGACTTTCCAAACATTTCCAAGATATTGTCTGTTCACCATGGAACTGCCATCCACAAGCCAAGCAGCTCTTTGTTGGTCAGTTAAGGGCTCTTTATAGGGCACTGTCCAAGTTACAACAGAATCCAGTAGCTCCTCACACAGTTCCAGAGTCAGTCCTTGGTGAAAAGAGGCTCGCTGCTCTCAAGAGTATCTCCCCCTTGCATCTCCCAGGCAGCATGTTCCTTTATAAACCATTTCCATTTTATTATGGAACTCTTCTGGGCACTGCCATCCCCATAATCCTAGATATTATGGCTATTTCAAGTTTCAAGATCACTTTATGTCCTTCAGTCACAGTCTTAGGGGTAGCTTCAATTAATCACTGATTGCAAGGTAGTAAATGCCCCTCAAATGGAAATTCTCTAGTCCAAAGTGCCAGTAGTTGTTGAGGTGCTCACAGCTCTTGCCATATGCCCCAGTCTATTCTATGCCTCACATAGGGCTATCACACAGCCTACCAGCACCTCAGCCTCTACTCCACGCTGTTTTGGCTCGGGGAATCTTACTGGTTCCCATTTAGCATGTCCAATTAAAACTGCTTGAAGGGTAGATTTACATGCCTTCTATTTATAATACTAGGTATGGGAAACATTCACCAGTCAGTTATAATGTCCATCCCCACAATACAATCAGGTAAAAAAAGAAAAAAAAAAAGATGCAACCACTTCACATAAAACCTGTTTAAATATGCCAATTCTCCTACAAACTTTTACCTTAATTTCATCAACCCTTACATTCCTAACGGTAGCCTCCACTAGGACTTCATCAATAGGTTTTGGTTTTACAATACTAGGTAAGGGAGGTGTTCCCCAGCCAGACATGGTTTCCATTCCCAGAAAACATTCAGGTAACATTCCAACTTTCATAATTTAATTAACCGTTACACTTTTATGTTCTCTCAGTTGAACTGTAGCCCGAGTCAAGGTTTCACCAATGGATTTTGGTACCACAGTTCATAGGATTCCTGTATCAAGGAGTCCTGGAAACTTTTCTTCACCCCGACTATTTTACCCAAGCTTGTGCAAAAGGTTTTGGATCCTTAGGAAGGGGTAGAGCCAAAGGACTCTATAAGTCATATAAAGTCTTATGTATAAGACTTATATAAAGTCTTATATATCTTAAATCTTATATAAATATAAGATTTGTCAATCTTATATTAATTGTCTTACCCCTTGCCCTAAGTGATTGGTCAGATCTCTCATTGTAATTTCTGCTTTCTGGCTTTCAAAATTTCTCCAAATTGTGGTAAACAGAGCTGACTTCTTTGGGGCCCTTTAATGTTGGGGGCCAGCAAGTCCTTTGGTACTGCTGTATTAAAATTTCTGTTTTAAGCCCACCATGATCTGTTTTATTCACTCTGCTTCTTAATTATCATCTAAAGATTTCCACCCTGCTGGGATGAGTCCCATGACTCTCCTTTTTCTTTCTTCTTTGTTCCACTCCTATCAACATTTGCTTTATTCACCTTATTCCTTAACAACTGTTTAAAATTTCCTACCCTGCTAAAACTATTCTCTTGATTCTCTCCTCTGCTGTCTCCATTCTCTTGTTAATAACCTAATATTTTTATTAGCATCTATTAAGACCATGAGGGGAAGCTGAGACAGCAAATTCCATAAGGCTTCTTGAACAATCCCTCGGTTTTGCAGCAGTAAGGTTACAATGGGGTATCCATGTAAAAGAAGCCCTTTAACCACAGCATCTACCATGACCTGGATAACAAGTATATTCATTGGGTGAATATCCTGGTCATCATAAAGCCAGCCCCACATGGCTTGCATACAAAGCACATCAGCTGCTTCATCTGGGGTGTTCCGCTTGGCATTCATAGAGGAAGATGGACAGCCCCCTTCTCAGGTAAACAGACCTTACAGTGGTCTTTATACCATCCACCAGGCTAGTTGTTCCTTCAGAAATAACCTCCTGTGTGTCTGGATCACACATAGCCATCTGTGATTGTTCTATAGTCATCTGTGCAACCTGTACCAACCCAAACATGCTCTTTCATTCTGCAGCACTCAAAACCAAAGACACAGCTCCTAAATTAGTCACTCACAACTTATTTCAGTAAAGGTTCCTCAGTAAACTGATGATATCAATCTACCAAATAAAACAACTCTTTCACACTATGTCCTCTGGTTTCAATAGTTTCTTGGTTTTTCCCTCACCCTACAATGACTACCTTCTTGGTGACCAGAGGTTTTAGAGGTACTTTCTGTTGCCCCTGCATAATTTTTACCTTGGAGTGGGGGCAGCTGTGAGGCTAGTGGTTGAAGCTCAGACTCACTGAAATCTGAGCTTGGTCTAGCATCAGGGTCTGATCCAGCACTCTTTTACTTTTAGTTTAGCTATTAACAGATAACAATTACCAAGGGATTGTATATTTTACCTCTTTCTTATTAGTCTGCATTTCCTTATTCATTCAGTGAGACAACTCCCCAGGAGTTGGAGTTGATGAAATAAAATTCATATTTTATGGCAAGA